TGTAGTTAGGTTATTAAAAATTAAAACAAATTTTTTTGGCCCGACTGGGCTATCCAGGGTTCAAACATGGGTCTCGGGGTTAACAGTGCGGTGCCTTAACCGTGGAGCTAGTTGTACGAGTTCGAAAGGAACTCAAAACTAAATCTACTTAACGGGTAGGCAGTACCGACACTACTGTAGCTCATCACTTCAGGTTTTAGGCTAGTTTTGGCAGTGATGAGCCCTCACCACTCTCAGTTTGGCTTGGCCATTGGCAGTGATGCACCATCACTTTATAAACCGAGCGCACGCTGACGAATTATTTGACCTCTTTCGAACGCTCGCGCCGCTCTCTTCCTCCACGCCGGTGAAGCACCGCCTCCACCCGTGTGCCCCCATCCGCTACCCTCGAGCCCTCCTCTTCCTCCACGGCGGCACTCATGCTTCAAGGTGCACCCCGCCCTAGAGAGGAAGCCACCCAGCACCATCCCCCGCCCCGCGGTCCACCACACCGCGGTGCTCAACATCGTGGGCCTCAACACCCACGGTCCTCCACGCCGCCGTCCCCCACCCCACGGTCGTCCACGTCGGCGGTTCGAGGAACTTATGAGCGCGCGAAAAGCGGCTTCTCCACGCTACACTATGCGTGCCGCCCTCACCGCACCTCCTCTATTCGATGGAATGCCTGTGAGAATAACATCCTCCTTTGTGTAGTGCGGCCTCTTCTCTCCGTCACTGGCAGCGAGGAACACCTCACCACCGTCCCTGCCACAGCCAACACTGTTAGCCACGCCCGTACCCTCGTCTTCCTTGACACCACCGGAGCACCGCCACTGCCCGCGCCCTCGTCTTCCTCGATGCCGCCGGAGCGCCGCCGCCACCCGCGCCCTCATCTTCCTCGTCCACCCCCACCACCACACCTACATCTGCCAATGCCGAGCCCTCAGGAGCGCATGGAGAGCTGCTAACCCCCCCCTCGAGGTGTGCATCCGACACTGCTCCTTAGGTGTTCGTTGAAATGCCCGTGAGGATAACAATAGCCTGTTTATCCCTTTTTGTCTAGATTTCGTGTAGAAACACTTCATATTTCCTTAGTAGCAAATGTTCTTTGATCTATGGCGAACAAATTAGCTTAAAATACTATGGTCATTTGTAGCATGGTTGAAGACATACTAGTGCTCAAAGTGGGATTGAAATGAGTTAGATGTTGAAATTCATAAGTTAGTTGTGTTGGAAATTGAAGTTTGAATATTTGAATATAGTCTACAACTTTGCTTACTCTACAACATGTTTGAATGACATAGCAGTATCAAATTAATTTGGTTAAATGCATAAGCGACCATGGCATGGCATGGCATGTATGTTGGTCGGGTGCATGGGATCTACCTTACCTAGGAAGATTGCTATGCTCGAGTCAATCGCTACCCAAGGAATTTGTACAAAAAATACAACACAGAAGCTGAAGCTTTGAGGGCATACTATGGTACAAGGAGTGCAAACCATGGCCATCAGCCGACACTGGAGATTGAAGAGAAGCCACCCGCCGGAGATATGAAGATTAGTAGAATTGCTCCTTGGTCTTAAAAAGATGCCATGCTTTTATTTATGGCTATGGTCATTACTTTTCTTATTTAGAAGTTGATGTAGGCTTAGTTTCGTAAAACAGTAGGTGGACTTTGTTGTACACGGCCAATCAAACAATGGATTTGTTTTAGGTGAATAGTATTTGGACTTATTATTAGACTTTTCATTAAATCTCTACTAGTTGGGTAATATATATATATGCACAAATGCTACTAGTAGTTGTACACGTAACATTTGTAATGTTTAATAACAAAATTAAGTACATTTGAACCGTAATAATAACATTTGTAATGTTTAATGTTGATGGACCTGTCGCCTACATAGTGAATATAAAGCGAAACCTGATTCCACCAATAAAATAAAATAAAATAAAAATTATAAAATACTAAAATGCGAAAAAGAGATCACTGCCGGTTAGCACTAAACCGACAGTGATGATAAAGAGGGCACTGCCAGTTCATGGCACGAGCCATCACTGTCGGCTTGAAATCCAAACCGATAGTTTTGCTGAAGACAACAATGTCGGTTTGAGCCACCAGTCGACAGTGATGGCTTGACCAACATAGCCGGCTTGAGCCATGAACCGACAGTGATGGCTTGCTCAACACTGTCGGCTTGAGCCAAGAACTGACACTCTTGAAGTAACCATCACTGTGGGTTGGGTCTACAAACCGGCAGTGTTGTTCAACTAGATACTGTTGCCTGTAGATTAGTGTCAGTTGTTAAGAACCGGCAGTGATGTCAATCCCCCTTACTGCCGGTAATGCCACTGTCGGTTCAAAATCCGGCAGTAAATGGGGGTTTTTATGCGACAGTGATGTCCTGATATGGGGTAGTGCTACTACTGGTGTGACAGACAAAACCTGTAAATTTCTGCAAGAAATTATGCAATCGTTGGTGTCACACGACCGATTCCGAACCGGACGGTGGAGGCCGGCAGGGGCCGATCTGGGCAGCGGCGGTGGCTACAGAGGGCTGATGCCAGGTTACCGGCCGGGGTGGCCCTGGTGGCGGCTGGCAGCGGCGCAGGCGTGGGGAAGGGCGGCGTGGCTGTAGATAAAGAGAGGAAGAGAGAGCGTGGAGATAAAAGGATTAACCTTAAAGTTGTCCGCCACACCTTTGTTGATAATTCTTCCTCATATAAATAAGAGCGTACAAGATGCTAATTGGCTTGATCTCGATAGAGCCCATAACCTGTACAACCCCTTTTAAATCTAATTTGTGATAGCTGGGCTTCAGCCCCTCCCCATTTGATTAGCCTGTTAGCCACTCTTCTACTATATGTCTTACCGACCATGATATTTCTCCCCACCTGGAGAATCAGCTCGTCCTCGAGCTGGAATGTTGGGTAAATCTGTTTAAATAATTCTGCATCTTCCCAAGATGATTCGGCCGCTAGCTGATGTTTCCATTTGATGAAAACTTGGTGGTTTCCTTGGTGTAGACGAGTTTTCATCATAAGTTCAGGTTCTGGTACTGCCACTCCATTATAGTTGGCATTGGAGGAGTTGATGGTGGAGGTCTGGTGTGTTTCTTGAGTATGCTCACATGAAAGGCGTTGTGTAGGTGAATATCCGAAGATAAGATCGAGGCGGTATATTTCTCAGGGGCTCGGCCATAGCCCCAGACTATTGAATGACGGGAGTCCGAGCCTGACCTCCACTCGGGCAACTGCGAGGGCATCAACCGAAGTACCGAGCCCCGGCCAGAAGCTGGCTCATGAAAGTGTCCAGAGCATAATAGGTATAGGGATGCTGCACCATCTGCCCATTCAAACGGCCTGGGGCTGTCGGCCACTCCCTTGGCAGGGTCACGCAACGGCTGTGACGCATCAGGACAAGGAGTTCACCAAGCTCCAAGGGCCGAGGGCTCTAGGCCCACTTGTCAGCCCCTCTAGTGGAGTAGCACGAAAATCTTGGTTTTCATGTCTCCTCCGTCGGTAGCCCTTTTTCCCAAGTCGATGACTTAGCCTATCCAATTTTGTCCTCTCGTTCAATCATCGGCTCAGCCATCCCAGTTGGGCACTTTTAAGTGGCAAGAAGGATACCCGTGGTCAATAACACCGACAACTGTATGAATTAATCAATTAACGGATACAAACATCTTCATTTGCTCACCTCTATTAATACTAATACCATTATAGGCGGTCATTTTAAGATGTCCATCTTTGTTAGGGGATCAACAGAGGCAGCCAAGACACTCGCCTCAAGAAATGGCTGGTTAATAGTGACCATTTGCTGAAGGTGGCCGCTTTGCCCGCGTCCAAAAACCCAAAACACCTGTGTCGGATAATGTTTACAGTAGTAGTGTTTAGTGTGTTAAAAACCTTCGATGCTATTTATGTGTTTTTATTAGTGTGATAGGGGATTGTCATGGATGACAAAGATTTAGCGAGCAATGTTTGTGATGATCCATAAATAAGAAAATAGAGACTAAATTGAAGAATCAATCTTATCACTCAGAATTTCATTTTGGAAAAGAGTTCTGCTTTGATGGTCCTCTTGAAAGAACTTTTCATGAATCTTAAAGCTGCTAGTAATTAATTAAAATTAATTTTGTCATGGGTCAGGATTAGGGCTGCCCCTGTCCATGCCCAATCAAAATAATAAAGGCTCGGGTGCGTAGGGGTTGGGCTTTGTTTGGGCACGGACAGGGTCAGCCACTCCAAACCCATGAAGAAAATAATTTTAATTAATTACTAGCAGCTTTAAGGTCTGTCCAAAAATTTTAAAGACGATCACCAGAGCAAAACTATGCTAACACCTAAAAGAAATATTTGTTTCTCAAAATTTGATCATGTAAAAAGTTTCATATGCTGAAACAAAAAATCCAGAAGAGCACGGAATTCGTATGTTTTACTGTAGTTTTTTTTTTTGGTGGGGGATGTTTTAGTGTAGTTTGGATAAACACTAAAGTTCCAGGAACATTAATGTTCACGCATCTGTGACGCATGACCTCTACCGTAGCATTCATATATTTCTCTCTATCAATTTTAAATCGAAGTTTTAACAATGGAACAGTGAATTAAAAAAATTAATGCTAATTAATTTTTATTTCATTGGATTGGTCTGTGTCGATTATTAGTATAGAAAAGGTAGTCAAACTGTCTGGATTCATTCCCCCCCGTTAATTCTACGATTGTTTCAATAGAAAATTAACTAACATTTAAATGCTAACAGAAAAAGGAATATTTGAAGTAATTCCATTTTAGTTAATTTGACGATCCTTTTTTATTGACTGTTTGTTAGACTAAAATAAATAAAATTAATTAAAACCTGATTCAAATGGTATTGGGATCGGAGGAGGGACTATATAAATTGGAGGGAGGGGCAATGGCTTTTCCCCAGTCATTTTTACAGCCAGCGTAGTAGAGTAATACACCGTATTGACAAGGCTGTTCAGGATATTAATAAAGATTAAAAAAAAACGTTGCAGTCATGTCCCACCGCCAGCATATCCTCTTCGCCATTGTCCTCATGGCTGTTGCCGTTCTCCAAGCCGTCTCCACCAGAGTAACCGCCGCGGCTAACTTGACTGGGGACGATGCGGCCAAAACAGCCTATGATGTCCTGGAGCAGAACAACTTGCCACGGGGTCTTCTACCTCTCGGTGTGAAGTCTTACGTGGCGCTTTTCAGGTGACGCTCCCTGGTGAATGCAACTTCTTTGTCACTGTCGCTGGAAAGCAATTCAAGTTTCGGTACGAGAGCAGCGTCAGTGGGATCATCACATCTGGGTCCATTAGCCGTGTGTCTGGCGTGAGGATTCAGGTGGAGTTCGCGTGGCTCGGGTTGAACCAGGTCAGCCGTGCTGGTAACCAGCTCAACATTCAGCTAGAGAAGTCTACCCAGTCGTTCCCCATCAACGCCTTCGCTCCGAGCGCACGATGCAGCTGAGGGGACCACCTATTGACCGCTTAAACCTAGGGCCTCTCCTATTTCTGATAATGCTTAATTATATGTTACATTATCAAACTTTTGTATCCCGCATATGCTGTGTATTTTGGAATGAGGATAATAATTTGATTCAGTCCTAAATGTTGTCGTCATGCTTCTTCAGTTTTGCAGTGTTTATCTATAGACAGATAGGTACACATTGCATGGAGATCATGCATATCATCATTATTTTAGCCTTAGCAGAGCATGGGCAGAATCCGTGCGTCTCTGGTATAGAGTCACGTGATCACCGGTAGAGCCTCGGCATACGACCGGCTTAGCATTCAGATCATGCTGGCTGAGCCGGTTTTTAACGTAAACTTCCTTGCAGTGACTATCCAGCATGTGGTATCTAATATATAACCTAGAGCCCCAATGGTCTGTTCTGCTCATTGGCTCGATCGAATGTATTTCATCAGTTTGTTTCGAAGGTAACAATGCATACAAGAGGACCGATCCAGAAGTAGAGGCAAACTTGTTTGTTAAGGGGGAATTCCCTTTGAGGAGCAGAGATTCCCCATCCCAGCATAAACTTTGTAGTGAATAGGAATAGGAGCCAACATGATTCCATTGCCTCATTCAGAGTAATATATATGAGTTACATCATGGGTGCGCAAGGAGCGCACGACTCAGGTCGTGGGCAACGTCGCGCCACCGCCACCGCAGTGACCAGCTAATCTAAACCGTACAAAACTGTAGGTTACAACACCCACCCCAGAGTCTGTGGGGTTGTGGTACGACGCACAGACTGGAACTGAAAGCTTCAAACGTCGAGGTGAGCAGCCCCTTTTTCATCATGTAACACCCTAAAAATTTGCATATTTTTGAAATAAGAGGAAATGATTAATTATGCATTTTTGTGGGAATTTGAATTTAGGAAAAATAATAAATTTTATCAAATTAAAATCAAATATAGGTCAACGACCATGAGTGTGCATTCATGCTACTGCATAATAATTTTTAAGTTGGTGTGATTTGAAATCAAACCTCAAATTATTTTGAATTTGTATTTGGAAATTGCTTTGGAATATTCAAAAAGGAAAATAAGCTTCTTTCTCCTTCCTCTGTTTCGGCCCGTAGGCTTGTTTCTGCCCGTGGCCCATTTCTCCCCCACGCCGGCCTGCTTCACTTCCTTCCCGCAGCGGCCCAGTTCGGCTCTTCTCTCGCGCCGCGCCGTAGCGGCCCAACAAAGTGCTGGCCCAGCTCCGCACGCCCGCTGACCCGCGCTCCTCCTTCCTCCGCCCGCTGACCGCCCGGGCCCACATGTCGGCGCGTTCTCCTTCCTCCCGCACGTACCCGGGCCGGATTCTTCCCCCCGCCGACGCCGTGTCCGCCTCCGCCACGAGTCGCGCCGTGCCTCTCAAGTAACCCCGCCCCCATAAATAGCTGCCTCCGCTGCCTCCCTATCCCATCCGCCGCAAGCTTTTTCGCCCACGCAAGCCGCAGCCGCGCCTCGCCCTAGCGCCACCGCAAGCTTGGGAAGCCATCGCCATCCACCGAGCGTCGCGCCACCTCTGTTGCTTCCTGGTCATTCCGTTCGGCTCCGGTGAGATCCCTATCCCCTCCTCTCTCTCCCGGTGCTTTTCTTTCGTCGAACCGAGCGCCATAGACCGGAAACCGCGAGCTCCAGTGAGCTCTCCCATGGCGCCGCCGCTGTTTTCTCGCCGCCGGCACTGTTTCGGCAAGGCTGGCTCTCTCTCTCTCTCCCCGCCCGGAGGAATCTCGGCCGTCCATCTCTAATCCGGCGGTCCAGGATGAAGGATACCCCTTCGTTCTGGAATTTTGCATAAGAGTCCTTATAATTATTTCAGTATTAACCCGCCGTCCCTAGCGTCTTTTCCAGATTCCATTTCTTTCTTTTGAAAGTATATTTTGGTTCGGTTAAATTGAAAATACGTTTTCAACTATGTACAGTTTTGTACTCAACTTGTTTTAGCCATAAAATCTCCGTTTTAACTCCGATTTGATCCATTCAAGTTGCGTTAGGTTCATAATTAAGTAATCTACATGTTTATAATACTGTTAAGTTGGTTTTCAACTTTTAAAATTCGAGATTAGATTTAATCTATTATTTTCCTATAGGAAATCTTGTTTAATTCATAACTTCTTCGTTTTAGCTCCGATTTTTGTGATCTTCGCGTCTGTGTGTTCGTAGCGAGACGTAGATTTGTTTTCCAAACTTTTCATCTTCATGTTATGCTGTTGGTGTACTGTTCTAATCTATAGCTTTTGTTTGCAATACATGATTGCTCCTGGATGCTTGTATGTTGCTGTGTTATCGAGTGTAGACGGTCAGCAATTTGTGGGAGATCAAGGGTATAACTTTGACGAGCAGGACCAGCAGGAGTACTTTGCTCAAGGCAAGTATAGCATAGGATCATCCTTGTTTCCTATTCACTTTAATTTATTAAATTCATGCTGCATGTGTCACCTTGATAGGGATTCCCTAGAATTGAATTTTTACCTTGTTACCTACGGGTTATGCATTGGGTAGCTTTGTTAGTGCTCAATTAAACCATGATCTTGTAACTTGACTAATGGTATATGCAATAAACATTAAAATATGACTTTTTAGCAACTTGGAAATATGGGGCTGGAGTATTTAGCTACTTTCTAAATGCTTCAAATTCCTCTCCCTAAGGTCTTATCTCTAAGTGATCATCCGGGACTTACGGTACAGCTGTGAGGGATACATGGCTCTGGCTTTAGCTCAGTATAAGGACCTTTTCTAGATTGTTAGAGGTTACCTTCATGGCGCAAGAGGGGTGTGTTCCGGGTTGGATATAGTGCGGCCTCTGTTCGTCAGTGTATAGGCTACATGTCATTGTGCCTGTCGGAAGGGGAGCTCTACATTCGCAGGCCACAGAAACCTAGCGGCCCTAGCTTGTTAGACGAACCTTTGAAATGCTTCATAGTGACCCCTGCCTGCTCACCTTAGAAGTGTTTTGGGAGTTATAAACTCGGGCATATGGGTATCACGACTCACAATAAAAGTGTACAACCTCTGCAGAGTGTAAAACTGGTATATCAGCCGTGCTCACGGTCATGAGCGGCCTTGGAACCCTTATGGAATAGATGAACACTAAGGATTATCTGTTTATGCTATTCATTACTCATGTTTACATTTGATCATGTGTTTTGCATTGGGAATTGAAACAACTTGTTGCTACTCTTAAGCTAAAATTGTGACAACTAAAAGCTGAATGTTGTTAAACCTGTGTCAAGCCTTTTGAGCCTCATGAACCCCGTGTTACACTTGTTGAGTACGACATGTACTTACGCTTGTTTATTTTCATTATTTGGATAAAAATCCCAGATGGGTAACATATGACTATGGGTATGATGATTTTCCTGAGAACTTCTAGACTTGTAGTGAACCAGTCGACATCCCTATGAAATGGAGCTTCCGCGAGAGATCTTTTACTATTTCTGCTACAGTTATGTGATAACTCTATCTTATTCATGATGTAATAAACACTTGTGATGATACTATTCATAATTTGTTGGCTTATGTGTGTGACTGATCTCTGGGCGCACATAAGATTTTGCACTCCATTTGATCCTTAAAATTGGGTGTGACAGATTGGTATCAGAGCTGTGTTGACTGTAGGACGCAAGCCTAGTTAGCAATGGTCGTTTTAGCTTCTTTTGCTTCACTCATTTCATGCTTTCTATCTCACCCTTGTTATTTGCTAAAGTTTTATGCTTCTTTTGCCTTATTCTATTATGAAAATTATTGCTTCTAATCTAATCTAACTAAATCTAATTCTGTAGATGCCTCGTGCTAGCAAGACTGTCCGCATCAGCACCGGAGGGTACTACCCGCCTCATGGTTTGTCCATGGAGCCTGAGGAGGAGGAACCCTAGGAACAAGAATTTGATTCACCAACACCGCCAACACTTGTACCTACGCCTACGCCAGTCCAGGAGGAACTCGAAGAAGTCAAGGTCGTCCACCTGTCCAACGATGATGATGAGGAAGACGTCGTTGAAGAGGATGAGCCTATCCCGCCCCTAGGGTGGACAACAAAGATGTGGTATAAGCCGGGATGTGAATCCTCTGTTTCACATCACCGACTCATGAGCATGCTTCAGACCTACTACGGCGACTGGGATGCAGCTGTGAAATACGTCTGCGAAGAACATACACACCCTCTTGAAGACACCTATTGGAAGACCAGGGTGTGCATCACCATCAAGGACACATAGAAAGACGCATATCAGCTGGATTCAAACTATGCGCACCATGCTCACTGTGCTACCATGGAGGACAGCATAGAAGATGCAGCCGCTGAAGCTTGCATAGGTCTCCGTGGTCGTCGATTCGAGGATATGAAGAATGACCAGTATCGATTCCTCCCTCATGAACACCCAGAATTGGGATGGGCAATGATGGACCCACAGGGCACAAATCCAACAACCCAAGTTATGGTACACTTTGGCTATGAGTCCGTAGCAAAGATTCACCGATTGGAGGATCAATTGAAGGCACAACATAAAACCATCAAGAGACACCGACAGGTGATAGATGAACAAATGGTGTGCCTCAACTTGCCAAAGAAGTATGAGGAGCTTCCCCATAAGTCTCGCCCATAGATGTTGGAGTCCCTTTTATGTAATAAAACGATAGTAGAACGAGTCAAGTTGAGTCTAGTCGAGTCTATTAGTGCGGTGTGAACATTGGTGTGCTTAGTTGATTTGTTATTATGTTTATGTGTGAGTTGGATCTTTGTATTGAGTGCTGGAACTTTGTGGGCATGTCCGCAAGTTCCATAGTTAAGAATATTAAAGTTTGGGTCAATAAATAAATAGTTGGGTTTGGTATATCTTGTTCTCTTGGAATCTATTTTTCGGAGCAGTCTGCCTTTATCTTCATTCCAATTAAAATCTGCATCACAAAAAATTATGAAATTTTTATGGGAATAACTAGACTTAAGTATCTTTCCAATTACTCTGGAATC